CTGTCAGTGGATGTCAAAGCCCTTTACAGAGGCGAGTGCTTGTCATCATCCCACTTTACACGTAAGAAAAGGGAAGCCGCCGGAGATTCAATGCCTCAGCCCACAAAAGGCAGAGCTTCCCTCACTCACCTGAGGGTAGGAACAGGCTGCCTCTCACGCTGCCCTCTTTCAGCCTAATCCTTCGCACACCGGGGGCGGTGAACCATCTCTCCACATTGGCCTTGGCTAGGACCTGCCCCGGGATGGTGCCAGGATGACTGTGCCCTTGGTGGACTGACACCTCCACCTTCATGGGGGTCTTAATCTGCTTCGGCACGAGTCTCTGGTAGGGTCTCTCCATGCCGGCAGGGGAGAGGCTCCAGAACAGCCCCATGGGCTCCACCCCAGTGTAGTCCCCTCCCTGGGAGGTGTCCCTGGACAGGTCAACCTCCCCGCGGCTGTCCGCCAGGTAGTGGGCGCAGGAGTCGAAGAGGCAGCCCTGCTCGTTCACCACGAGTCCCCTCAGCGTCACCCGCTGCCCCGGGGCGAGCCCCTGCACCTTGGTCGCCACCGGCTCGTCCGCCAGCCCCGCCGCGGGCTCCACGGCCACGGTCGCTGCCCCCCTGCTGCCGGAGCGCGGCCCCGGGGCCCGGCACTGTCTGGGAGCCCGCAAGCAGGCGGCCCAGGCCCTGGCTGTGGCCATTCGCCACATGGCGGGTAAGGGCAACCCCGCTCGCCGCCCCTCTCCGCGCCACTAGCCACGGGGCGGCCCGGAGCCGGGCCCTACACACCAGTCTCCGCCCGCGGCGGCCGGGCCGGGACACCTCCAAGGCGGCCTCAATCGATCGCAGAGACACAGCGCCGCCTCCGTCCCGCCGCAGAGGCTCTTCCGGGGACGCCGCTCCCTTCTGCCAGCCGGGAAAGCCGCTTCCTGCAACTGGGGGGCGGAGGGGGAGCGCGCCCGGTGTATCACCGGCCCCTGGAGTGAAAAGGAGAAGATGGGGGGAAGCCGCAGCCTAGATATCCCGCCGGACGGGGCGGGGAAGATCTTCGGGGGGGAATTTGAAGAAGAGGGAAGGGGAGAAAACGCCCCCAGCCAGTCGTCCAGAGTAGCCAACCTCCTCCACAACTGCTAGGAGTTAAGCCTTAAGGAACAGTGTTAATTTGTGCCCGAGCTGAGCCCAGCCACCTCTAGGCTTGACATTTCATAGCCCTGGTACCTCCAGGCTTGCCACGTCAAAGTAAAAAAAAAAAAAAATTGCTTGAGACTCAAAAAAACGTTTCATTACAAATTAAGCACTGCTAAAGCAAAACCCTCTCAGGTCATGGCTACACTACAAGATTATGTTGACCTAAGGTAGGTCAGTATACAGCTGCCACAGTTATTACATTGCTTGTGTGTGTGCAGTATTGGCTCCTTGTGTTGGGCAATGCCCATCCTCACCTGGAGCGCTTGAATTGATCGTATTGTCAGGGTGGGGCACTGTGGGACAGCTCCTGAAAGCCATTAACAGTAAAGTCAGCAGTACAGTGTCTACACTGGCACTGCGTTGAGCTAATTACATCGACTGACTCTACACCGGCTGCGGAGGTGGTGTTACTAAGTCGGTGTAGAAGGGCACTTACGTCAGCAGGAGCGAAATTTAAGTGAAGACATTTCCATAGCTAGATTGATGCAAGGCAACCTAATTGTGTAGTGTAGACCAGGCCTCAATCAGGCATAACTGTGTCAAAGCCAGGGCCAGCTCGAGTTTTTTTGCCGCCCCAAGCGGCAAAGGGAAAAATAAAAATCCGATTGAGCTGCCGCCGAAGAGAAAGAGAGGGAGTGAAGGACCCGCCGCCAAGTTGCTGCCGAAGACCCGGACGTGCCACCCCAACAACGGACAGACTGCCGCCCCTTTCTATTGGCTGCCCCAGGCACCTGCTTCCTTCGCTGGTGCCTGGATCCGGCCCTGGCCAAAGCACAAATGGGGAGTGAGATTCAGGCTTATCCCTAACTTGAAAAGCAGAATAGATCCCTCCCAGCCCTGAGACTTCCATTTAAGATTTTGTTTGTTTGGGAGAGTTCTGCCTTCTACTCTTTGAGCTCTTGAGAATTGAAACATGAATAAATCAAAAGTACTGATACTAAATTTTTCCCATTTCAAACCACAAACCAGAGGTTGAGAGGGAAGAAGTTGAGCTGCTTAGGTTTCTGAGAAAAAGAATATTCCTCCAAGAAGGAACTGACACCTAGAAACGTCCAGCACTGAAATCCAAAAACCCAGTGATCAATGTAGCAGACAATTTAGGATGGAGAAAGGTCTTACCTTACTAATATTTTAAGAACTCAATTTATACCTGTAAATAACCAAATATATAAGGATGTGAAGAAAATTCAACTTTCATATTGTAGGAAGTAGAAATAGGACAAAAGGAGGAAATCTAATGTAGGAAGAGGCCTTGAGCCATCTTTCCTCTCACTTTCAGCTTATAACCTTTGGCTCTGGTGTCTCATTAAGAGGGAAGACAGGTGTATGATCTTTTAAAAATAGCTGGAGGCTGTTATGAAAGATGGAGCCTACACGCAGGGTCCAGGGACAGCACTCTAAGAAGAATCCCAGACTCAATATTCCTGATATTTCTAAGATTTAGAAAAAACAGAAAAAAATGCTGGTTCTTTTATTTAAATGTGTAATTGTTTTTAAATGTTTAACTTCTCCATGAACTTTGACTCTAGAGTCATTTGGACATATGCATTCTTTCACCACTGGAGCATTGAACTATTTATGAACCCATTGTTTTACCAACCAAATCTCTAGTACCCTCTTTCCCACATGAGAGAAGACTTTAGATTCTAGACAAGTGGTCATTTACTTCTGCCACCCACATCTATTTAGGAAATCTCAGCAGCTATGCACTTTCCTGGAATGTGGTAACATGGGCAAAGCTGCAGGCCAGCATTACAGGCTGCGTAAAAGGCTGCATTTCACCAGCTTTTGAACATTGCTGATAGGCCACATTCAAATTTCACCTAATCTCTCTCTACCTGTATTACATCAATACATGGGATTTGAAGCCTGAGGCATTTGCCTTGTCACAGAGTCATATCAAAGCATAGCTACTGTGACAATGCGGTTCTGGCGGAACCCAACTGAGAGTGCCAACTCAGGATAAATTGCTCAAATAGGGCAGTTACAGC